AGCCACAGAGAAACCCTGTCTCAAAAAAAAAACTAAAGAAAGAAAGGACTGTGCATTGCCTATTGTGCTACACTATGAAGTGAATGACCTGGTGAACGAGAGGGGCAAGTCGGAGAAAGTGGAGAACGTGTGTGTTGACTGTTGCTTCAAACACCACAGATGCTAGTGGGAAAAAAGTTGTATTTCCTTTTCACGTATGTGTATGTGTTTGTGTATGGAAGTGTTCATGTGTTTATACATGTGTGTGGGTGTATGTGCACCAGAAGTCATTGTCAGGGGTCTTCTTCAATTGCTTTCTACCTCATTTAAAATGAAATGCTATGTGCAGGAGTATATTGGCAGCATGTATGTGTGTGCACCATGTGTGCCTGGTGCCTGCAGAGGTCAGAAGAGGATGTTGGATCCTCTGGCACTAGAGTTGTAGACAACTGTGATCGCCAAGGGTGCTGGGAACCGAACCTAGGACATCTGCAAGAAAAAGGGTGGCCTTAACCACTTGGCCATCCTTCAATCCCCTCTGCCTTACTTTTTGAGATAAGGCTCCCACTGAACATGGAGGTCACCAGTTCAGTCAGCAGGCCCTGTCTTCCCTGACTCTGTCTCCACATCCCTGGGCTCACACATGTGCTACTGAGGCCCCCATTCATGCGGCTGCTAAGGATTCGATGGAAGGTCCACATACTTGCACAGTAAACAGCTGGCCCACCAAACCACCTCACCAGCACCATGTTTTTTCCTTTAAAGATGCCGTCTTAGTCTCTTTCCATGTTGCTTCAATAAGATTCTCTGACAAAAGCAACTCGAGGGGGAATCGGTTTGTTGTAGTTCACATGCAAAGTGCAGCTCATCAAAGCAGAAGTCAAGCAGCAGGAACCTGCAGCAGCTGGTCACATGACAGTCACCATCAGAAAGCAGAGTTGAATGATTTCTGGTCCTCTGCTCTCCTCCATTCATATAGTCCAGGATCACAAACAGGAAATGGTTCCACAGTGGACAGGACTTCCAGCTCCGATGAATGTAGTCAAGATAATCGTCCACAGGAATGCCCAGAGGCCCATCTCCAGGGTAATTCTAGATTCTGTCAGTTACCATTAAGCATCACAGATGGAATGGCTCATACGTAGGCTGAAGATGGGTTTTAAATTTATTTTTAACTAAAATGTAATTGTTATTTCCCCTCCCCCCAATCCCTCCCATGTAAGCTCCATATCCCACCCCTTGACATTCTCTCAAATTCATGGCTTATTTTTCTTTAATTATTATTACACACACACACTTGAGGTACTCATCTCAGGGAAGACCAATTCTCCTTAAGAACACATTTTTTAAGTCTTCTTTAGCAGAGAGGTTGCATTCATGTTGTAGAAGGCGGCAGTAGGTGGTGTGGGATTGCAATGTTGACACTTTATGGAATAAGCATTTGACACCAATGAGAGTGGAAGAGACATGTCACTAGTGGACCAACACCAGGACAGTTTCTGAAAGCTCTGACGCTATGTCTAGCTTGTATTCTCATGTTGTACTCTAAAACCACAAGGTGAGACAGGCAGGCAAGATTTGACAAAAGCATTTATGGCCGTCAGCAGGTTGTTAAGGGCAATGACCCATTATTTCACCTACTTCTCCAGGTCATTTTGTTCGGGTAGCAAGTGAAGCCATGCTTGGCAAATAGGCAGTACAAGCTGTGCTTTAAGTAAATCACTGATAAATCAATATCTGACAATTGGTCTTTCCTATCTTATTGTACTCCAGTAGCATAGTGACGAGAAGGCATGAGATATTCAGAGAATGACTGAGGAGCACAAGTACTGTGAGAAGGGTTATGGGGTCGGTGGCTTGTTCAGTGAATGTGGAAGAGAGAAGCAGGAACATCCTGACTTAGTGGGTTTGTGAATCTCTTTCCTCTGTTTGGTAATATAAAAGCGCCAAGGTTTTCTGAGCCTTGAAGTATGCTCAAGGATCATTTTCATGATAGGGATCATTGGGAACATCTGGGAGAGGTCTGAAGTAGGAAAGTAAATGTGTAAATGTATTTTATCAGTTTGAAGTTACATGAAAAGAAAATCCCACAGCTCTTATGTCGCTCATATGCATTTTTCTGGAGTGAATCAAAAGAGTTTTTGCAAAATGATCAAGACCCACAGTTTAAGGAACTTGAACAGTTGTGTGCAAGGACCCTAATTTTATATTTTTGTACTGGAAGGGGACCAGCTATATGGCTGTTCTAATAAAGGAGACAGGTGATAGCAAAGGAGAGAAGGGAAACACTGGAACAGCAGTCTGAAGTTGGTAGGGTAGAATGGAAGCTGGGATGTGGCCACCAAGATGAGCATCTTGGAGGGAGGGTGTTGAACCTTTCACTTACAAATCATTTTTTCTACCCTGGTCTGCCCCTTAACATCCATGTAGCTCTCATTTATGCTTAAGTAACACAGCAGACACTCCTAAGTGCTCCTTCCATGATTAAAGTGGGCACTCTGTCCCCAGGTGGTGGATACAGTTGAGTGATGGACTATTTAGAGGACAGTGGTTATTCTAAATGTAGACCAGCAGATAACTTTTTCCATCTGTCATTTGGAATCCCTTTTATCTAGATGGTTAAATATCAGAGGAACAGATTATGATATTCAGCATTTTCTATGCTTTAGAAGAGATGGGAGAGTCTTTTAATGTGTAAGAGGGAAACTGCTTGCCAATGTGTTATAGTCCATCATCTGATTGGGGCTTTAACCATCATTGGATTTGGGAGTCTTGTTTGAAGTGCTCAAGGAAGCTACTCTCAGTTTTGAGTAAATTTATAAAAAGGCATATAGCCAGTTACTAGTTCTTCAAACAAGCTTTGGGCTTTGATTTTCTAGATTCAGGGGTTTTGACTCAATTCTCCATTAATCATATTGTAAGAAGCAAACAAAGTGTTCTGGCCCTGAGAAGTTCTTTTGAATTTCATTTGGAGATACAGGAAAATATATTCTCCGAATTGAAGGCCTCCTTGGATATGACCTGAATTTTGTAGTTATGTTACCTACCAGCTTTCCTTTGCCCGGCACTGAGCCTCTGTACGTGTAGAGGCAGGCACACTGGCCCCAGTTGGCTCCTGTTCTTGAAGTGATGCTATGGATCAGCATTTTAGAGCAGCCGTATGTGGACAATGAGAGTGCTTGGTGTCTGCTGTGTGCCTTGTTAAACTGATGAAAGCTTGAGGCTTGTTTGATCTTTACAAAGTCATCACTGTTTTATATCAGAACAGTCTAGAAGAGATGGCTTAGGCAGAATGAAGCCCAAATCCATGGTTTTAGCTTACTCAGCCTTTCTCATTTCAGATACAGTATTTTCTTAGGTTTTATGGGAACTTCACTGGAGAACTGGCAGAATTCTAGAAACCAACTCTCACCCCTCATATACTGTGATGTGTTCAAGACGCACATCTATGCCAGTGTGACGAGGGCAGCTGGCAGCTTGTGAACCACTATCTAGAGGTTTTCTATCTCCCCTTCACCCCGCCCTCCCCCGTTTTTCTTGTTGTTGCTGGTTCTTTAGTCTTGTCTGGAACTCAGTGTGTAGACCACAGGTTTCAGACTCATAGGTCTGTGCCTACCTGTGCCTTCCGGTTAAAAGGTGTGCACCATCATGCCCTACTTCCACAGTTTTTCTAGTGTTAAAAGTGACATTTTGGGATACAGGTACGCTACTAGCCATTTGAGGTAGAAGTTAAAGTAAATTAAGTTTTAAAAAAATTTCTTTTGTGTCATTTGTGGTATGAATAAATTGCTTTTGCTATTTCTTATTCTAAATCATTATTACTAGAAATGACCTTGTGTCTGCAATGACACAGGAATACAACTGAGAGAAAATTTTCTGACTGTTTCAATTCCTGTTAACTGCCCAAATTAATAACAAACACCATGCTGGAAGAATTAGTGCATGTGAAACAAGGACTTTCTGATTTGTCTAAGTCTACTCCAAATCTAATTTGCTCAAAGAATATAATTTTACCTGATTTTATTTTATTTTTTACTTTTTTCCTGGAAATACCACAGCAGCTACAAATTGGCAGATTACTCATCTGTAAAAGGGAAACTCTGTAAATACTTAAATTAGAAAGACTAGTCCCAGAGGTAATGAGTTATGTTTAAAAATCAGTGCATCAAATGCATATTTATAACTTACCACCACTAAATGTTTATTTTTATAATACTGCATACATGGGGTCATGTTTCAGCAGCACTGGTTCTTGCTATAAGTAGAGATCAGGACCAGTGACCAAGCAGGCATAATCTTCAGTGAGAAGGAAGTAACCAGGTGGGTTTGCTATAGTATATTTTGGGCCCACCTCAGTAATAGTTGATAACTTCACAAGGCAGTTAAATAGAAAACTGGACAGTGTTTAAGACTGATGAAGAGTGCAAGAAAGAAAAGTAGGTACAACAGATTAAGTATACTGAGAACAGCAGGGTGCAAAGAGAGGTGGGTTGCAATATAAACATTAGGGTGTTAAATAGGCTTCATGGAGGTGTCATGAAAGATGTAAAAATATAGTGAGCACACGCTGAGTTTGGTTGCACTTGCCTCACCATGGGTAATTACCGAGGCTTCTTTCTGGGGATAAGGTGGGTTGCACAAGCTTAGGGACACAGGTCAGCTACGCTAGTGCCTCCATGCAGCAATGAACATGGCCAATCATGGCAGCAATTCTGTGCTACACCGTGTTTCTGTCTGGAGCCTTTTCTTTGGTAAGGGATTGCCAATCAGACCCTTTGTCCTTCCTTACTTTCCACTCCCTCTTCACATTTGCTACTTCCTAGGAAATGGTCATCTAGATTCAGTGATATCAAACTGAGATAGCAATCGGCCTTGGGGGGGAGGGGAGAGAAATGGAAAGATGGTTTGCAAAGGACATAATCTGGAGCGAGATTTGTTTGTTGTACTTTAATATCCCTAGCTGTCAATCATCAATTTTCAATATCTGAAAAAAAGCCTTACATCTGGCTCTTTCCTTTCAGGTATGGTAACAACACAAGGAGCTATGCAGTTCGAGTTGGGGATTATCATACTCTGGTACCAGAGGAGTTTGAAGAAGAAATAGGGGTTCAACAGATAGTGATTCATAGGAACTACCGGCCAGACAGCAGTGACTATGACATCGCCCTGGTTAGATTACAAGGACCACGGGAGCAATGTGCCAGACTAAGCACCCATGTTTTGCCAGCCTGTTTACCTCTGTGGAAAGAAAGGCCACAGAAAACAGCTTCCAATTGCCACATAACAGGATGGGGAGACACAGGTAATAAAAACAAAAGTGAAAAACAAAGACACAAACTAGGAAAACTGGGCAGCTTCCTGTCTGCCTACATTCTAGGATATACAGTGGTAGGACTTGGATGGACTCAAGTTTGATACCTGGAAGTCTGCCAGGTGTGAAATGTACTCATGCAGCCTTAGATTCACATCCTGGGAGTGTTAGTTCTAATTCCAACGTTAGCACAAACTGAAAAACTCAATTGCCAGTAGGGTAGAAAGTGTTCTACAACTTTAGTCATGCAGACCAGTGAGAGAACAGTGAAGATTTAAAGCCCCAGCAAAGAATTAAATACAGAATCCTACGCAGTTTCCAAAGTTCTCCAGATTTGAAGTAGCTGGCCCAGTAAAGGGCTGTGTCACTTGTCCTTATTGCCAGGGAATCCTCACCAAGGTGACTTTTAAGATTTCCTGAAGTTTGGTCAGAAGACAGCGAGGCGTCTTAGACGGAGGGAAACTCAAGTTGAAGGAAAGCAGTTACCTTTCTCCCTCACACTTTGCTTCTACTTCAGCCTCTAAGCAGTGGCAGTATTCAACATGGGTCCTCAGGTGAATGTAGCAGCTTGAATTGTCTCGCTGAGACAATCAGTGTACAAGTAGCATGCACTCCAAGTCAGGCCTTAGAATAGACCAAGGTCTCACTAGAATTAGGTGCTCAACTAAAAAAATGTATCTGTCTTGTTTTGGAGACAGGGTTTCCCTGTATTGTTTTAGAGGCTATCCTGAAACTCTCTGTATACCAGACTGCCTCGAACTCGCAGAGATCCGCCTGCTTCTGCCTACCCAGTGCTGGGATTATATATGTATAAGAGATCTTAGGTTGGTGATTTTCTATAAAAAAAAAATCCCACTATCACACTCTTTTTTAAAGTGTCAAGCAAGAATATTTTTTGGTAGGCGTAGAAATAATGGAGTGAGCTAGACTTGCCTGTTATGCACCAGCAACAAATCGCTACGAGAAGGTTGCTATTTTAGAACCGTGATTCCTTCATGAGAGACTTGCTTTCTTTTGGATACAGTATACATTTTCTAGGATGGTCTAGTTATTCCCATTTAAGAGTATGAGAACATGGGGGACACACCAGTTGTACATTTAAGCCATTCCATTAATAATGGTTTATCAGGAAGCTGACTATGAATACCGGGTGGCATGAATTATGCCTGTTTAAATGAGAAACTAAGTGTACTTTTATTTCTGAACCACCCTTATACAGTATTATATTCCTGCTAAACAGCTACCACCCAAGTTAATGGGGAGTATCCCATTTTGAAATCCCATCAATGCTGCAGTAAGATTACTAAATGTTCACACTTAAATGCAGTCATTAGCTGCAATCTTCTAACTCAGTTTTCGTTGGTCTGAGCAGGACGTGCTTACTCAAGAACTCTACAACAAGCAGCGGTGCCTTTACTACCCAAGAGGTTTTGTAAAGAGCGTTACAAAGGACTATTTACAGGGAGAATGCTCTGTGCTGGAAACCTCCAAGAAAACAACCGTGTAGACAGCTGCCAGGGAGACAGCGGAGGACCACTTATGTGTGAAAGACCCGATGAAACCTGGGTTGTATATGGGGTGACTTCCTGGGGGTATGGCTGTGGAATCAAAGATACCCCAGGTGTTTATACTAAAGTCCCTGCCTTTGTACCTTGGATAAAAAGCATCACTGGACTGTAATTTATGGAAAGCGCAAGGAATAGTAAAGAAACTCATAGGAGTATTCAGTCTCCATATTTGGCATCAAGCCAGGAAAGACAACTGAGATCTCTCAACCAGCTTGGGACACAGCGTAACACTCATTCTTGCCTATTGCAATCTAAGTTTGGATTTATGAGGTGCCCAACTTTGACCTACTATTTGAAACCAGATTTTACTAAGACTGGCATTTCATACTAACCACCTTAGCGTTTGTTAAATGACATCAGAAAGGGACAATCTTGTAAGCTGGCAGAGATCAAGTCATCTACTTAATTTACTCTCAAATACTTTAGTATCAAACAAGCTCTAAGCACGTTTTTAGCCACCTATAAGCTATTACCAAAATTACTTCCCCAGAACACAGCAGGCAACTATCAAATTTGAATTGTACTGTTTTGAACCATTAAGAAAGCCATTTACTAGGCCTTTCCAAGAAGCCTACAGGTTTCAAGACATAATCCATTTTATACTAGGGAAAAAATACATACACTGCAAAGATCTGAGATGACTGATTGATCCCAAGTCTTGATAAGGCACATTAGTGTTGCCAGAACCTTCTGAGTACATTGCCAAAATGGTGCTGTATTCACTTTAGGGGCGTGAAGCTTTAACACCTTTCTAAACCCCCATCCTTACAAAAAGGCTCAGGGAGGTCAATACAACCATCTTCCTGTAAAGGTAGTTATCCATTGGCTGCCTGTAATTGGGTTACACCTTACAAAGGCCAGCAACTGAAAGGTTCAGGCATTATGCTGGCCTGCCCTGTTACCTGGCAAGATGCACTCAGGCTAGCCCCGTGTTCTGCGAGAACCACACAGGTGCAAAGAACCCCTTTAAAGGACCGACCCCTGCCCGCTCACGTTTTTACTCTTGTCTTATTCTCCATCTCATCTCTTAGCTCTGCACATGTCGGTTACCTCACCCCCTTTTCACTCCCTGTCTACCAATAAACTCCACGTGGGATCGTTTTTGTCTCCTTACTGGATAAACCTAGACATTTTAACAGCAACTGCAAATGTGTGGTTAACAACTTAAGTTGTGTAAGTTCAAAAGCCAAATGAAATAAAAGGACTCAAGTGTTCAGTACACCTTTGCATAATATATAATAATCAGATTATTCTCTCCTTAGACGGTAGCAATTTCCTGTGCAAATGTCTGTAGAAATAAACAGGACACGCTTTTATTACTCACCAACCAAACTTTATTTGACTCATGAAAGAACTAAGAAATAAAGGTCAGGACTGTATTGAAAACAGTGCTGCATTAAAATCCACGACACTCAACTCCTGTGAAGATCCCCTGTAAGATGCCCACAAGATCTCAGCCACTATTCCTTTTCTTTAATTACCTGTAAGAAAAACCAACATTACAGAATTACTTCCCCAATTTTAGTGACTTCCTGAATTCAACTGCCTAAGTTACACAATGTCCGCACACGTGCAAACTACATCAGACCGTAATAGAAGACATTAAAGAAAAAACTCACCTTAACATGTCTCCCATCAGGGAACAGGAATGAATCCTGGTTACCTAGAAACAGATTTCCAATAGCAGTTTAGAAAAGTCTGCCCATTTTCCTGGCAACCAGTAAGCTTTAACAACTTAGAATGTCACTTGTCCAAGTCAGAATCTGATACCAATTAAATGGTGACAGCTTTGCCAATAACAAGAACATGCTCTTCCATGGCTAGGAAGGGAGACTGCCACAGGCGGCAGGTCCCAAAGATACATGGAGTCTCACAACCCAGAACCCCGGTGCAGTCCCCAAGACCTTACTCACCGTGCAGGAAAGCGTTCCCCGGCGTGGCGCCGCCTAACGAGCCCGGCTTCCCACGGCCTTGGCCCGCGTGCTAGCCCTCACCACGCTCCCGCGGTGCTGACGGCCGCCGGCCTGCACCGCAACGGCCCAGCGTCTCCCGCATCTTGGCCGCTCACAAACGAGGGACCAAAAGTCATGTAGTCGCGGAGACCCGCGGGGACCACACAGAAAGCATAGCATGCACAACCAATGCGAAAAAGACCTCAGTGCGCGGCGTGCGCGTTTTTATAATCCCGACGACGCTTTCCCGAGAGCCTGCGCGCGAGGGGCGTGGCCCGTGTGCCTTTTCCGGCCCTCTCCGGCGCCCAGTCCCTTTGATTGGCTCGTGCGCCCGGGTTCCACGCATGCGTCTACAGGGATGGGGAGGTAGGAGGAGGAAAAGAAATCCCAAACCAAACATCTCGCGTTGTCTGAAGTCTCGCGGCTGATCCTCGTGCCGAGATTTGTTCGCCCCGGCGCGTTCTTTTTCCAAGTATTTGGTCATCAAGTCAGCCCTCTCGTCACTGCCGGCTCCCGACACGTCACTTCCGGTGGCGCCGCCTGTGCCCGCTCCCGCGAGCCGTGTGGCTCGCCCTTGCTGTTTCTGCTGGCTCTCGCGCCCCGCCGCCTGCGGTTTGGGTCTGATCCATGAAGGAATTTCGCGCGAGACCGTGCCCCGAAGGTTTCTTGAAGGCAGAGAACCGGCAGACGCGGGCAGCGCGAGTCTCAGCGGCGGGCAGACCCTCCGAGTGCGGGTCTCACCTCCCGGGTGCAGTCAGAGCTAGCAAGAGATTCCCCTCAGACAATGCTCACTAAGCCACACCGGCCTCGGCACCCCCTTTACCGGCTGGAGACAGAATGGAGGGTCCCCGGAGCCTTTGGCGATGGGCCGTTGGGGGCGGCAGTTGCTGTCATGGAGACTCAGGAAGCTGTAAGGGAGAGAGATCGCGGAAGCTTCCCGAGAGCACTACCTGCTTGGCGGGGTGGGTTATGTAGAGCAATTCTGTGCTACCGTTCGAGTGAACACACTCGGAGGAGTCAGGTGTGTGTGTGTGTGAAGGACCCGGGGGTGTTTGCAAAGATCACAATTTTACCTCACACATCATTCGTGATCCGAAAGAACCAGTCAGTAACAAGTCTTCAGTACCTCTTACCCACCGCCGAGGGCTTTGCCCAGACACATTTCACTGGACTCCAGTGTAGACGATTGGGGTGTCCTAAAGAATATAGTCTGTTAGTCCCCGGAGCTGGGAAGTCTGAGGTGAAGGGGCTGGCCGTTTCTGAGCCTTCTTTCTCTGGCCTGTAGATTGTAGTCTGCGTCCTCCTGTGGGTTTTTCTTCCGTGCCTGTCTGCACTGGCCGGGTTTGATAAAGTCCTACTTTAAAAACCTCATTATTAACGCAAACCACTTTTCAGAGAGGGATTAAGACTTCAACATAAGTTCTGGGAGTACACTTTGTTATAGAACCATACGTTTATGCTAAGACATGTCTTACTGAAGATTTTTAAATGAACTTTTCCGTTTTGTTAGGTAGCTCACATGGGATAAATGAGAGTTTACGTACTCGGATGATCCTGCCTTTTAATACAAAGTTTTGTTTGTCTGAAACTGGGTTTTTAAAAACCCGCGTTTTAGCCCGGGGCGTTGGTGGCTCACGCCTTTAATCCCAGCACTTGGGAGGCAGGCGGATCTCTGTGAGTTCGAGGCCAGTCTGGTCTACAGAGTGAGTCCAGGACAGTCTCCAAAACAATACAGAGAAACCCTGTCTCCAAAAACAAAAACAACAGCAACAAAAAACAAGCCGGGGAGTGGTGGCACACGCCTTTAATCCCTGCACTCGGGAGGCGGAGGCTGGCGGATCTCGGTGAGTTCAAGACCAGCCTGGTCTACATGAGCTAGTTCCAGGACAGTCTCCAAAGCCGCAGAGAAACCCTGTCTCGAAAAACAAAAAACAAACAAAAAAAAACAAACAAAACCCCGCCTATTACCACTCCCTTTCTTTCTTCACGCCCTTTTGCCTTGCTACTCTCCCCTCAACCACATCTTTTTTTCTGTTGAAAATCTTTGCCGATTTCAGTGTTTTGGTCAAGCATTGCTATGGAAATGTCCATCCCTAAAACTGAATTTGATTTTTTTGGCATGGAGTAGCCATGTTTGCATTGATTGTCCTTTGGCATGTTTTTTATAAACTCCGGTGAGGACCTTAGTACTGGGGTTATAAGCATGCCACCAGGCCCAACATATGCCTTGGGGACTGATCCCAGGGAGTTGTGCTGCTAGGTAAGCACTCACAATGAAGTGTCTTCCCAAACTAGTAATAAATCTTTTTCAAAGTATCAGAAACAGACACCATACACTTCAAGCATATGGTCATGGTCCTAAGTGCTCCGTAAATCAAGTCTACCAGAGAGGAACTTCAAGGAGGTTCCCAAGAGAGATGCATGATACCCCAGAGAAGTGGAATGAGGCAAGATCTCCTGGAATACTCATTTTTTAGCTGAGCTCCTTCCAAAACGTATGCCTCTTTCCCACTTTTAGTGGGGGAAACTAGTAAGTTTATGGGCAGTTGAGGGTACATGAGACTCCAGCTCAAAACCAGGAAACCATAGCCAGCACTCACTTATCCACCTCTTAGTTGAAGACTGCGGTCCATGGGAGAAACTGTAGTTAGGAAATAGCCTGAAGCTTGTGTTTCATTTTTACCTAATTTCAGTCTTTACTTAATTTTGGTTTACTTGTTATTTTGCTTAATTTCAGTAGTGCTCATTCGTATCAATAAACCTAAGCATTCAGTCATTTGTGGTTTCACTGCAAAGAAGGTTGTACTTTAGTGTGATGAGAGTTCTTCCCAGTCTGTTTATTTTTTCAGTTCTAAAAGCCTTGTTTGTTAAATATTTGCTAGACTCCAGCAAATATTTGTTCTGCAGACAAACTCTTGCCTGAACAGGCATTTCTTGAACACTAATACAAAAGCTAATTAAATGCATGGGAAAATGCACAGTGTTACCAACTATCAGGGAAATTCAATTTAAAACAAGTTAGAATGACTGTTATAAAAGGAGAAAACAGCAGTCAATGCTGGAGAGCTTCCCCAGAAGGAAACCTTAGGCACCCTGTGGGATGTTCACTTGGTGCAACTGTTAGGGAAAATACCACTGTAGCACGAAAAATTAAAAGACCAGAGGCAGATGTTGGGGTTCAAACTTCCAGCTGAAGATCAGAAAAGCAAAGCAGTCGGACACTAGCTCTTACTCTACCTCAGATTGGAAGGCGATCCTGGTTCCACCAAACCTCAGAATGTAATCCCAGACTGCTATGCTCTCCTCAGTGTGGCTGGAAAATCCTAAGACTTCAATATCTTTCTATCCTCAATGTAACTGGAGAATGAATGCCAGCTCTGAGCCCTTGTTCTGTCTTAAATACCTCTCATGAGTTCTGGGTTAAAGGCATGGGCTCTAATTCACTGTCTGGCAGCCCAAGGTGGCCTTGGACTCAGAGATCCATCTGTCTTTGTCCTGAGTATTAGCATTCAAGGTGTGCCTGGCTTCTACAGCTAACTAGTATACTTTGCTATTTTGATCTCCAGTGGCTTTAATAAATCATAAACAATATATCACCACATACCATATCATTTCCCCTAACAGATAAGGAGTTGAAATGTGTGTGAAGATCTGGGGAAAGATCTGGCCTGAAGAAACCAATAAGGAAATAAATAGGAAGTGGGAGGAGGAACTGAGCATTTATCACACTAATCTACAAAAACAAAAAACAAAAAACAAAAACAAAAAACACATTACAGGAAGATGAGACCAGACTCAGGACAGAAGAAGAGCCAGTGAAATATAACCTGGAAATCAAAGTTTACAAAGAAGAAAGCAATTTACAGTGACAGTTGAAAATTGAGCCTTGGGATTTTTTTTCAGGGCAATACAAAGGAATGCCATCACCTTGGGAATGTTAAGGAAAGGACAGAATATGATTAGGAAATAATGTCAATGGGTTTTGAAGTGTAGCGGGATTCTTGGATTCAGTGGGAGTTCATTGGGATGCTCGGAATGAATTTAAATTCAAATCTAGCCCGATTGTCTATTTTCTCCACATGTTCAGCTGCGTAGCTTCAAGAGTGCTGCTGATGGGAGTGGAGTAAGGGAGAAGGTGGCAGGAGTTTGGTTTCTTACAGAATTGAAGGGACGAATGAGATAGCATCAACAGACAATGGAGGTGACAATGTGTCACAAAAATTTGGGACTTGGAGTTCTTGGCATCAGGAAACACCCAGCATGTTTACCAAGACATCGACATGCAACTTACTGCCTCTTTTACGGTCTTCCAGAATAACTGGAATTGAGCAGGTGTCATAAGAAATTAGCTGTGCCACTTTAAGAATGAACGTGTAGAATTTTGCACATATAGCAGTGAGAGAGGATGCTATATACATTCTCAATTAATACTTAACATCTCAAAAGCATGTTTTTTTCTTTTATTTTCGGCTATTTCCAGATGACATATGAAGCTTTCTCTTTCACTCTTCTTTTTGGTTACATTTGTGTATGCAAAATATTTATTTAACCTTTGATATAGCATCTTAAATGAAAGATTTTTTGGAATGTTATCTGACATCTGTAAACTAATGCTTTCATTATCAGGTATATTAAAATCATTTGGAAATTGAAAGGTCAATTGTTAAATTCTGCTGCTTTTCTTTGTCACAGTATACATCATAGATGCTTCCTGGTGTGAGACATTTGCACTACTAGCCCATCCCAAAATCCTTTGAGCCTCTGTCTTTAAGGATTATAGCTATGTAGAGCAATGAAATGGACTGATGTTATTTACTTAAAACGTTATGAAATGAAGCAGCAATTTTATATAGCCACTAGGTGGTGCTATTATCCTATTATTTAGGTATCGTTTAAACCCCTAGAAAACTTGAATACACTCATTTATTATCGTGCGTGGATTTATTGATATAATTCATTGTCAATAATTATGGAAAAGTGCCAGCATTCTTTTTTTTTTTTTTTGGTTTTTCAAGACAGGGTTTCTCTGTGGCTTTGGAGGCTGTCCTGGAACTCACTCTGTAGACCAGGCTGGCCTCGAACTCACAGAGATCTGCCTGCCTCTGCCTCCCAAGTGCTGGGATTAAAGGCGTGCGCCACCAACGCCCGGCGAGTGCCAGCAGCATTCTTAATGGCTCTGCCAACCTGCCCCATGGACTCTGTTTTATATAATAATGAAATTTGAAAATGGTGAGTTTTGAAAACCT